CAAATCCTGCTGATGCAGCCTCTTCCTTCGGTTAACCAGGCATATTCCATGGTTGCTCAAGAGGAGTCTCAGCGAATCCAGCTATCTGCTATGCCAAGTCCTGATTCCTCGGTATTTTAATCCAAAGGTTCTGGGATTCCTGATCGTCGCCGGTTTCAAGGTATTTTTTATTATTGTAAGGTCAAGGGTCACAAGAGGGATAGTTGCTACCGTCTCATAGGATTTCCACCAGATTTTAAGTTCTCCAAACGAAAGAATGATCAAGCTGCAGTAGCTGTCTCTGAATCTGCCGTTGTTCTTGAACCTGCTGTTGTGTCTGACATTACTAAAGCCTCTGGAAAGTTGAGTTCTTCGGCTCCTCTGGCACCTTCCTTCACCCAGGATCAGTATAACCAAATTCTTCGCTTGCTGTTCTCTGCTCCGTCTGTTGATTCCGCTGTGAATATGGCAGGTATTCTTCAGTTTGTCTGCACCTCCCGAAGATTCAGACGACATTGATTTACTTCTGCAAGAAAGTAACAATCCACAACTTCCTACAATGTGTGAGGAAACAAAGGATGCTCAATTCAATGGAGAAGAAACAATAATGAAGAAAGAAGAACATAACGCCAAAGAGAGGTTTCGAAGGAGGAAACAGCATGCGGCATACTTGGCTCTTGGAGCTTTGCTTCCTACAGATTCCACCACATCAAAGGTTTGTTGTATACATTATATATATTGTTATACCTATGGTGATAGACTCCGGAAACCTTCAAACTTCCATCGGATCGGATTCGATGAAGCTGCTAGCACTCCGTCAATCGAAATCTCCTTTATCCATATGTACCCTCCGCCTATCAGAGTCTCTAACAAGCCTATATCCCGAATATAAACTTTCTAGTCAAATACAGTACATAGATAAGTCGACGCTTGTTACTGTTAAGTTCACGTGACTTATTATAACGAAATCCAAGATATAACGACTAGATCTATCTAAAGTCTAAACCCTTAGTTTACAAATAGTCATAGTGACTTCATACTGTATACCCCCAATCAGAAATGGGAAAAGAGCTAAACCTTCTACAATCTACGTCTTATTTTCATTTTCTTTCTTATGAGAACTCCTCTTTCACAAAAAATATCGGCCAACAATCATTTTCTCGCTGACGGCGATTCTCCGTCCAAATCAAAAAGGATAAAACGTCTTAAAGATCTTGTTCCATCAATATATATATTACAAACTTGCAATATTACAATCAGAAATTTTTCTCATGGTTGTTGATATGATTGATGTTGCAGAAAAGAAAGAGTTCTCGTCTTATACTTGATAGAGCAGTTGAATACATACCAGAACTGGAGAAAGAAATCGAGAAGTTAACTTTGAAGAAGAATGACATGCTATCAGCAGTTAAACATAAGCAATCTGCAGCGGTCAATCACGTGCAATTTCATCAAGATCCACCGACAGTTTCGGTGCATGAAATCGAACAGGGTGAGTTTATCATTCAAATATTCAGCAATGGACATGAAAATGGTGCTTTCTCGGACCTACTACAGAATGTAGACGATGAAGAACAAGGCAAGTCTATTATGAGTGCCTCAACTCTTCAAATTTCTGATCGTGGACAATGCTACCCTTTACAAATAAAGGTACATACATACATAAATGCATATATACACACGTACATATATGCGCACATGCATGCTTATAAGTTTACGTTTGCCATCAAACTTTAGAACCAATATCAGTTAGGAGTTAGGATTTTGACAAGGGCATAATCAAGTATTAATGAAGATGTAAAGGGATTTTTTTCAATTAACATAATATGTTTACCTTTATTTGGAAATTTCAACAGATGAAGAAAATTTTGGATGGACAGATCAATATTGCAAGTTTAAGAGAGAAGCTAATTTCTTGGTTTTGCTAGCTGCTTAATTTTAATTTCGGTGGTAAGAGTTATTAATGTTTTGTTTTTATATTTCAATTTTTCGCAAAATGATATTTATTATTTTGTGATAACAATTACGGTACTATTTTCCTAATTCATAGTTTGGTGGATGAGAATTAATTAATTTTTATTGTTTGATTTCTAATATTTTCAGTTTTAATGATATTTTTTAGAACGGATAATCGAAAAATGATATTGTTGAAGGATCTACGATTGTTTAGTCAAAATCTTTTGTAATCTAAAGATTTTATGTTCTCGAGATAGGGATGGCAAACGGATACAATTTCGTAGATTCCACATCGTACTAGTTCTAATTGGGGCGGGGATGGGTATAACTTTAGTGGTCGTGGGCGGGTGTGGATTTAAAAAGTGGTACCCATTGCGGGTAGTGGGCGGGTGATGGGTTTGAGACCTTACCCGCCCCGCATCCGTCCGCCCATTAAATACCTATTAAATTTTGGATCATTATGAATTTAGATATAATTTTATAGACTAATTTATAAATCTTAATATTGTATAAAATATAACTTATAATCCTTGGTTAATTTTACTATGTTTCTTAATGGGCGTGTTGGTTTTATGCTTGTTGCTTATGTATAACTTAAGGTTGTTGTCAGGCGGGTCTAACCGGGTACGTCTCCAGTTGGGTAGTGGGTGTAGAGATGAATTTGAGAATGTACCCGCGTGGGCGGGTGTGGATTTGAAAAATTTTACCCATCATGAGTGGTGGGCGAATTGTGGATTTGAAAATATTAAGTGGGAATGGGGATAGGAGAGGGGTATCCGAACCCGACCCGCCCCATCCGTTTGCCGTCCCTATCTCGAGATGCCCTTAATTGTTATTTTGGTCACAAGATTTTTTTATATAATAAAGATAACATTATTAAGTACAATTAGAAGAATGCAATTTATAGAGTTAGCATTATAACTAGTTTTCTTATAATAAATATAATATTATCGTTTCTTCTTCCTTTTCTTCACTTGAGTTATTCACTTCTTTAGTGGATTTTGAGAAAAACTTTAATCGTATTTTTTATTTTATTTTTCTCTTTCTCTTCTTTTTTCCCCTGATAGCATCTCAAACAAAGACTCAATATGTTCGATGGTGGATCCATAAAAATTTTTTAAGATGAACACATATATGTTAACAGTATACATTTTTTCGAATGAGGTAAGCATAAATAAAATTTCACGGTGGAAACCATCAACAAAATGGATTATTAATAGAAGAAAATTCAGATTTCAGGGTAGGCACAATAAAATTTCATGATGGACACCATTAATAAAATAAGTGATTAAACAAAGAAAAATTAGATTTCAGGATAGGCACGTGCCCACCTTGAGCCATGAGTGTATCCGCCACTGAATATGTTCATCAAGAGTAAAAGTCTTTATATTCTTTACTTTAAATGTTACAGTCTTCCTAGCTTGTTAAGACATTGGTTAGGGGTGTTCAAACGGTTAATTCAATCATCAACCGAATCGAATTTTTATTAACCGAATTTTCCTTTAACTGTTAACCAAATCGAATTTTTTTCTTGAAAATATTAACCGAACCGGATTTTTTTTGGTAATTTTAGTCGATTAATCGAATTTACAAAATAATTTTAGATTGATTCTACTTATAAATCAAGTCTACACCCATTATCTTAGCTATCTATATTAAAGATTTTACAAATTCACTAATTTATGACAATTTCTAAGGACACAATATAACCTTATAACTTCTTTAAACGCTTATACCCAAAATCTTAAATACACTCTTTCTCAAAAGTAAAATACAAATATGGAAGAAAGAAAATCTTAAAATCAAATTGATTTAAAAAATATATAGTCATTATGTTAATCAGTATTCATAGGGTTTTCAAACTACAAGGTGATTAAAGTGCTGCCATGTTTTAATTTATTGTAATTACGTATTATGTTATTAAAAGATAAAGAATATGTTTTGATGGTATTTTTGGATTTCTCCCTAACACACTTCGGAACAAACCAAAGAACAAAAAGAAAACAGATAAATAAGAAAAGATCCCAAAACAGGTCACCGAAGGGAACCCTAAACCCAGGAACAAAGGAAACAAGAGAATTCGATCCTAATCCCTTCCCAGCAGATTTAAGAACGAGATCCAAAATTTTAATATTCTTTTCTTAAAAATAATGGGTATACATAAAAGATCCCAAAACAAATCATCAAGGGAACCAAAATCCAGGAGCAAAGCAAACAAGAGAATCCAATCCTAATCCATTTCTAGCAGATTTAAGAACGGAATACAAAATTTTAATATTCTTCTCTTTAAAATAATAGGTATACAGAAAAGATCCCCAAAAAAATCACCGAGAGAACCAAAATCCAGGAACAAAGCAAACAAGAGAAGCCAATCCCAATCTCTTCCTAACAAATTTAAGAATGAGGGTCCAAAATTTAAATATTATTTTCTTAAAAATAACGAGTATTCAAAAATTTTTATTTTTATTTTCATTTTTCATAATATGTTAAACTAAAATTTACCTTTTTCCCTAAATAATTTGATGCACTTAGTCTCTAGGGCTTAACGCATCCGCCCTTACTTCCTAGAATTGCACATACCACAGCAAACAAAACAAACGTCCATGAATGAAAAATATCTTTAAAAAAATAGCTCAAAAGTCATTATGTAATCAAGGAGTTTCCACTTACAATTGTTCAAACAACGAAGAGGAAAAGGAAAGGAGAAGTGAGATGAAATATCTTTTTAAAGTGATTTTTCGTTTAATGCATATTTTTTTATAATTATTATTATTCGATTAATTCAAATTAAATTTTATAAAACAAATTATCTAATTCATTTTTTTCAACTCACAGTATCAAAATTTTATTTAATTATAAAAATTCCATTTAGCCTTTCATTTTGAAAATGACATTCAAAACCTAATCCATAAGAAACAAAAAGATGATTTTGTAAATTACAATTCCACGTTATTCCAATGGATCTATATATATGCATATACGTGTGTGTGTGTATATATATATATATATATATATATATTTCACCAGCAAACAATTAGAACCGTCACCCGAATTCTCAAAGTACGAACCTAAAAAATTCCATCCTTTCTCCCCCAAGAGAAGAGAGCATGAGGAAACGAAACCTTTACGCATGGGGAGTCGCTATTCTCTGTTTCGTGGTGTTAATGATCGCCACTCCAGCTATCCCCCAATCCCAGGAGTACCATAATTTCGCCGATCAACGCCAATTCTTCGGTTAATTTCACTTCACCCCTCATTATTCTTTGCGTTGGTTTTCAAATGATATGAATATCAGAAGAACAACAACCAAAAGTTAGTATTAGAATAGAACAGCCTAGGTCCCTTTAAACCCGACAAAAAAAACCAGTTTTTCGATGTGATTCAAGTCCTATTCCTTCCTGTTAGGATCATAGGTGTGGTGATTGAAGAACTATGGTCAAGTTTTGTTACTGGTTATCCGAAAAGTGAAAACTTTAATCAGTAATTAAGTATTTTTTTCTCTTCCTTTTAGCAATTGGTTTAAAACCCATAGTTTAAATCACCTTGGCTATTCAGATAGCTACAACTTACAAGCTTAGAATTACGACTCTAATGGGTGCTTGTTATTATTGCTTTTGCAGGTATACCGAATACGTTAAACGTTGTTTCGAATTTTCCCTTCATAGTTATTGGTGTTATAGGTCTCGTATTGTGTTATTATAACAACTATTTCGAGTTGAGGTAAGTTGGCTTCTTGTTTTTATGTCAAATTATAATTGTGTTTTGTAGCAAGAGAAGTTATGTGGTCTATCTATTGTTTATTGAGTTTTACACCTGTGATAAAGTTTGCAAGGTGAACTGTGGGGTTGGACTTGTTTTTTCATTGGTGTGGCTGCTGTTGGGGTTGGTTCCTCGTACTATCATCTCGACCCGGATGATGCTCGGCTTGTGTGGGATAGATTGCCGGTCAGTTTGTTTGGCCTTGATGCATGATAGTCTTTGGGATGTTCTTGTTTTGACAAATTCTTTAATCGTGTTGTGTATAGATGACAATTGCATTCACATCAATCATGGCAGTATTTATCATTGAAAGAATTGATGAGCAGAAGGGAACAGTTTCCATCATACCACTGCTGCTGGCTGGTGTAATCAGTATCTTGTACTGGAGGCAAGCATGCTGCTTAATTCTCCTTTCTTTCGAAAAAATAGTTTCTTTTGTCACAGTCCATATCTTATACTGGACTCGGTTCTCTGTTTTGTAGACGAGCTTCTTGCTTTGGTCCTGTGAAATAAATGATTCGGCTTCGAATCTGAAAATGAATCACCCCCTTCCTTTTTTCCCATTGACTAGTTTAAATAGAGACTAGGCCTATCTTAAATGTTAATTTAGGGGTGATGACATGTTGGAGTTCGAATCAATGATGTCTTATGAAAATGTGCTTTTGGGGTTTAAATGTGAATTGGATCTTGATAATTTTGGTGTCTACTGGTCCATTGAAGCTGAGTTCTGAGATTTTACAGCGTATTTCCTTATGCTAGCTCGTTTGACATGTCTTACAACAGATTTTGTGCTGCAGGTTGTTCGATGATCTCCGACCTTATGCCGTCATCCAGTTTGTTCCTTGCATTGTCATCCCCATCATGGCTATCTTGTTGCCACCAATGTACACACATTCTACGTATTGGCTTTGGGCAGCAGGTTTGTCCTTTTCTTCTATGGGCTATGGCCTTTGGGTTTCCAAATATATGATATGCATATGCATCTCTAACATAAATCTACTACAATTGCAGTATTCTATCTTTTAGCTAAGATAGAAGAAGCAATGGATAAAGTAATATACGAATGGACTCATCATATTGTAAGTGGGCACACCCTTAAGCACTTGTGTGCTGCCATGGTTCCTGTGTTTTTGACACTTATGCTGGTGAAGAGGACGACTGAAACAAACAGGTATTTTTCTTGTTTGTACACCATCTAATGGTGCCAAAGATTGTAACTTTGCCTTTAATGTTTGACTAAATAGTCATTTAGGTCCCTATTCTTTTTCCGGAACATTTTGGTCCCCAATGTTTCATTTTAGAACAAAAAGATCCTTAACATTCGACTAAGTAATCTTTTTGGTCCCTCTATTATTCTTTTTGGAACATTTTGGCCCCAACGTTGTATTTTAGGACAAAAATCCTTCTATTTTAGAACGTTGAGCATTTGTTGACTAACGGTTTTCATAAGCGTTAGGGGTCTCTCTGTCCCTCAAATGAAACGTTGGAACCAAAATGTTCCGAAAAGGTTACGGATCAAAGTGACTGGTCGTTAGGGGCATTTTTTTTTTGTCATTATGCCTTTAATATTTTTCTTGTGTAAATATCTTTGTAATGTGTATATTCATACAGGATAAGCCTACTGAAGACATGGAAGGTTTCATGGACAAAGGTGAAGGAAAATGGTTCCACGGTGGAAAGTCGTGATTATACCTACACCACTGTTCAATCTGAGGATCCACATTCGCATTGACCTGCAGCTCTATTTCTTTCTAACTAGATTCATACTCTCATGTGACAAGAAAGTTGAACAAATAAGTTATGAAAAAATTTGAACAACATGTTACTCCTAAAACTGCCATGTTTGTAAATACTTACATAGCAAAAAGATCTTATTTGGTTAAAACATGCTTCAAGTCCTTTGATATTTATACATTTGAAATTTAAAATTTTAATTCTAATTCTTTTGTTAAATTTGTTGAGACGATATTTTGAAATTTTAAAAAATAATTTTGCAGTTTTTATGTGATATTTTAATGAATTTAAAGTTAACAAAAATGTTTAAATAATGTTCATAATTGGATTTAAATTTTTATATTAAAAAATTAAAGAGGGAAATCTCTAAAAAAAATTATAGACTTGAATATGTTCTAACATTCTTTCTTAAGCGTTGATGGCTTGTGTTTCTTCCACTTAAGAGGTTGAGTTGTGCAAGACTTAGTGGTGGAGCAATAAAAGTTGTTTGTTATAATTTACAAAGAGTTTGGTATCAACAAAGGGGTGGTGGCGCAGTTAGCTAGCGCGTAGGTCTCGTAGCTCGTGAGTTATCTTGAGGTCGAGAGTGTGAGCCTCTCTCAACCCTTAATTATTTTTTCTCATTATCACCAAAGATAATCTCTCTCGCGTCCTATATTGCACTCTAGTTTTTTAATGGATTGCAAACTTTCTGGTTGCTTCCTCCATAACCAGCTTAACTGAGGAGAATGCTTAGACTTAGAAACATACCAGAAAAGGTTTCTTCACCATAGTATGATTCTGCAGAAAGTGTGGAAGTTCAAGTTTTCATTACCAACCATTACTATTCATTATTTCATTTATAGCTTCACAATAAATGCAGTGGTAAAAGAACTTTTGGGAAACCATAATGTAGAATGAAATCCTTTCATTTCATATTAGGAGACAACTCCATAACAATCCATTGCTTCTGCTTTAGCTTAATTCTAAGGTTTTTAGGTTTGGAGGACGACGGTGGCTTTGAAGTATCATCCTTGTAGACGCTAGTTTTTTTGTCCATTCGTTTTATTTTATTATTTTTATTACTATTATTTTTATATATTTATATATTATTAAATAAAAAATACAGGTCCATTTACAAATTACAATCTGGAGCCCAAATTATTAATCCCGGAGCCCAAACATGGAAGTCCAGATCTAGAAACCCAATAATAACCCTAAACCCAAATAAGGTTTCATCATCCCAGCTCCCAGCAGCAAGTGATTGCAGTCGTTGGATCTAGTCTTGATCCAACGGCCCTGATGGTTCCAGCAAAGAAAAGCCTAGGGTATCATAACCCTAGGGCCATGTTCAGCCGCCGCCTATGCCAGGTGCCTCGTCCAGCAGCTGCCGACACTCCACTGCTACCACGTCTCTGACAAAGACTCCAGAGAAAGCACAGATGGTCGCCCACGTCGAGACCCTATTATGAGTCACCACTAGAGGTTCAGTGACTCCCCGAGGGCTATTCCTATGACCGGTCCGAGAGAAGAACTATGGTGGCTTATAAAAGCCACCGATTCCCTGCAGAGAAAAGGGGAGACGAATAAACAGAGCAACCAAGAGAAGGAATGGGAGCAACAACCAACGACAACGACGAACAACAAACAACACTAACAACATCAACCAACCACAAGGAAAAAAATAGTGGAATACCGAAAGACACTTACCGAGGAAACCAACCGTCATCAAGTTTTTCGAAGGTAAAATGTTTAGATCTAGCGGTTTCGGTGAGTTTTTAGAAGAAAACAAGTTTGGATTTGTGTTTAGGGTAATCGAGGCTTTAATTTGGGGTAGGTTTCTAAATTCCGGGCCATCGTCGCCGGAGCACGGTGGCCGGCGGTGGCCGGACTCTCGCCAGTGACAGAAATTTAGAAAGAGGAAGAGAGAATTTTTTTTCATTTCTCTCTTTAAGAGAGAGATGAAAAATGAAAAATGGGGATAATGGCCCTCATAAGACGTCGTTTTGGGGAAGGGGTGTTTGTATAAATACCCTCTTGGGTAAACCACACGTGCATACCTTTGAAGTTTGTAAGATTCTATTTTGGTCACTGAATTCAATTTAAATGTCTTTTAATTCAGTTTTTCAATTTTATTTAATTTATGTTTTAGTTCTTGAGAGTAATTATATATTTAGGGTAAAATATCAGATTTAGTCCTTTATAATTTTATTAATTTTTATTTTAGTTCCGAATAATTAATTATAATCAAATTACACTTTTAGCAACTAGATTTATGATATTTTGAATTAGGTCCTTAATTTTTATATTTTACATTTTGATCCCTAATATTTTAATATTTATTTTAACCATGAGTTTTATTACTTTTTAATTTATTCTTATAGTTTTAATTTCATTTGTTTTAGTTATTGTTTAATTGCATTTTAATTTAATTTTTATTATTATCCTTTTAATTTCAATATGTTCAAATTATTAATTATTATTTTATTATTATTTTATTATTATAAAATTTTATAAATATATATATTTGATTAAATATTAATATTTATTTATTTTTAAATATTAAGAAAAGGGTTGTCTTAACTTAACTAGAAGTCTTATTTCGATATTTTTAAATAAATAAATATCTTACTATATAGTTATTTTAATTTTATTCAAATTATTATAATTTTTCCTCCATTTTATATTTATTTAATTTTATTCATATTAATATATATGTGTATATATATATATATATATATATATATGAAAGATTAATAAGTATTATTTAATTAAATTCACAAATTGATTAAATAATATTTATTTATTTTTAATATTAAGAAAGGGCGATTTTAAAGTAACTAGATGTCTATTTTTGATATTTTTAAATAAATAAATACCCCATTTATAAAACCCTAAGTATATATATATATATTTACATTTTATTTTATAAATTATTTTAATATATTTTCCTTTAAAATTATCTGATTGAATCTGGAATAAGAGAATAATAAATTAAAATTATATTTGAATTCTTTAAATTCTACTAAATAGAGACAATTTATAATCGACAAGTACTAATTTTGAGCGTTGTGGGGGTGTTAATCCTTCCCCAAACGTAACCGACCAAGAATCCCTTTTTATTACTAAAAAGAATGAATTTTTGGTTAAGCGCAGACTAGTTTATCTTTTAAAAGATGTTTTTTAAAACTCTTTTAAAAGATGATTTTTAGGTATTCGACCTACCTAACCCAAAAGGTCGATGGCGACTCCAAAATATATTCATTAAAACCATTTATTCACATACTTTTTCCGCCAAGAAAAATTCGTGCCGGACGAAAACTGGTTACGACAGCTTGGCGACTCCGTTGGGGACCCTGGTCAAACCTAAGTCATATATTGTCTCTAGTATTGGAAGTTGAGAATTCATATTTTATTTAATTTATGATTCTTTTGATTTCTTTCAATTTATTTTATACTCTTGTATATTAATATTTAATTTTATTTTTAGATATTAATTTTTGTGTGAAAATTTATCCTCGCACACAACACTTGCATTGCATAACATAAGCTTTATAATTGAGTTTTTTCCTTTTAAGTGGGAGTGAAAGCGACGTCTTCATGAGAATTTATTATCCGTAGACCTAGCAAGTAGCTTTCGGGGTTCATATGTTCTATGTCTTTGTGAGAATTTATTCTCCGTATCAGACATAGGGAAATGTGTCCCCTCGAATTGAACTCGATCCGCTTAAGTCTATAATGAACTAGGATTGAAGGTTTAGCAGCCCAATGGGGCACCAACAAGGACAGTACGAGTACCTTTACTCTTAGAACCAAAACTCTGCATATAATAAACCTTAGAAATTCTCCTGATCTAAGAAAATGTTGAAACCTTGTCCGTAGGTGTACACAAAGGATAAATAAGCTCTTGCTTTTAATTTATTTAATTTATTTTTTCTTCTAAATAAATGCATGCGAACTAGTAATCATGCTGCTAGGTTAATTTTTCCCTACAAAGCATGGAACTAGAAAGCATGAGGTTAGGATTTATACCATGATAGGTAGAATCTTTTCTTTCCATTAATTCGTATTAACCATTTTATTGTTGATACATTTTATTTTGCTCTAATTTGTTTATATTGATTTCTTTTGCTTGCATTACATGATCATGGCATAACCAGAAGGTATTGATTCGAGAGAGTGTTCATCAAATTGAAAAGTTTTCATAAATGGACAAAAAGTTTTATGATCAAGCAAAATATGACGCAGCCAAGGAATGACATCTTGAGGGAACTCTAAGGATCAAGGAGAGCTATGCACACAAAGATCCCGTCAGATTAATACCAAAAGTATTACACAAAGATCTATTTAGATTGATACCAAAAGCATTTTATGGTAAGAGTATCAATAGAAGCATTCAGAAGGAAGGAAGTTTTTATGAAGCTCAAATACGTTTTTGGAAGGATGAAAACAAGAAATTAAGTACAAAAATGAACACCATGTGTGAGGATTTACAAAAGATTAGTCAATCCTTTTAAAATGCTGGCATAGGAAACACCCCAGAAGAGTGGATAACAGGGTCGCCAAACTGAAAAAGAACTGCAACATATATAAGGGTCGAGCCAAGAAGTTTTCTCATTGTTTACGAATTGCAGAAGAAATGCACAGTACAACCATCATCAATTTGGAAAAATATCAAGATGAAAATCAAATGTTAAGAAGGCTCTTAGCCAATAAAGAAGCCTCATATCAGATCCATCATCATGAGATTGATACTGAATTAAAAGACACTGAAGCCAAGAACAATACATTGATGAAGATGGTAGAGGATTATGAAGATCTTGTCCAAGAACTCTGTAACCATAAAGATTCCCTCACAAGGGAGAATGAGCAACATTGTCTACAACTCCGAGAGTTGACACAGAAGATGAATGAAAAAGACAATGTCATGGAAGAAGCTGCTGTCCAGACAAACAACATGGCTCATAAGCTGATAGACTTAGCTGACTTTACAAGGAATTGAAACAGATTGATAACTCAACTTTTGAGCATGAATGGAAACTAACTTGGCTTTAGAGAAGTTATGAGTGAAAGTTATCCCATATATGTAAAGTTTTGTTGAAGTCAGGAGGGAAAGTTATCCCCTATATGTAAAGTTTTGTTTGATGTACCGAAACTTTTGTGTTCAATTAAGGCTGTTTTAAGATGATCACTCTTGAATAACACCTTTTTCATACATGCATTTGCATCTATGCATTTTCATTTTTACATTTCATTTCATTACATTTGCATTTACATTTGCATCTTTTCATAGTTACATTTATAGTTTCAATCTTACATCATGCACTTACAATTTTGTTAGTTTCAAATTATATCACATGCATTAACTCATGAAAATATGGGAATAATCCATGAAGAATTCCATGACAGAATTTCTGAAATGAAATTGGAGATAACTTGGTCTTCCTAAAGAAAGATAAGAACCATGAATAAGATTTTAGCAAGGGTTGGAAGAATCGAAAAACTTCAAGAACATTTCATAAAGATTCAACAAGAGATAATGGATCAAGTGAAAAACTTCCAAGATGATTCAAAAGAGATTTTAGAAACCAAGCCTTCGGGGGTTTCTTGATTTGAATTCCAAAGATCAGCAAAGATTCAAATCCATCACTTGAGATTCAACAACTTTGTCTTAATCAAGAGAAGTCAACTGAACAAAAATTTATTGTCTTTTTCGTCTTTGCCCTATTCTTGTTAACACAAGAATAGGAGAATGGGCAAAGAGGGGCAGCTGTAGACACTAAATTTTTTTTTCGATTTTTTATTCTTATTCTTATAATAATTATTATTATTATAAATATTCTTATTCTTATTATTATTAATAATTACAAATAATTACAAAGCCCAACAGTAAACTAAGGCCCATTTACAAACCCAACCCAATTACATCAGACCTGGAGGCCCAACCCGGTCCAAGCTCAACAGAACCTTCTAGGGTTTCCATCTAAGCTTCCAGCCGCCTTTTCTCTCAACCGTTGGATCTGGCAAGTTCCAACGGTCCTGATGATTCTAGATGAAAACCCTAGGGTATCATAACCCTAGGGCCACGCGGTCGCTGCCTTCACTACCACCACTACCGACGCCCCGTTGCCACGACGCCTCACCAGAAACCTCTAGAAGCACCACGAAGCCACACACGTCGCTGCCCTATGGTGAGTCACCAGCATAGCTTTGGTGACTCACCGAGGCTTCCACCCTTGTGACCGGTCCGAGAGCCACATCGATGAGGCCTATAAATGGTCATTCCCTGCACAGAAGAAAGAAGAAAACGAGGAAAGAACAGCAACCGAGATCCCAACAGCTAGCAAATACCAAACAGAGAAAATAACAAAGAGCTATCAAAAACAACAAACAAACGACAAAGAAGAGGAAAAGAGCCTTACCGAGAGGATTACACGACCACCGGAGCCTCCACACGCTTCGAAAACATTCTAGATCTACGAAAATCTAGGTTTTTTTTAGGGGAAACAGAGGTCGGAATCGGCCTTACGACCATCGGATCTACAATTTGAGTAATTTGGGAAATTTCGACCACTATCGTTGGTGGCTGGCGGCGACGATCGCCACCGGAGCACGGTGGCCGACGGCTGCCGGAATTTCCTCCGGTGAGGGAAGATAGAGGGAAGCGAGAGAGAATGAGAATGAGAGAAATGAGAAAACCGGCCATTTAGGCCGGTTAAATGGGTTTATATCCCCCTCCCCGAACGACGTCGTTTTGGGGAGGGGTCTGTGTGTAATTTTATAAAGGTAAAACTCTGTCCGCAGCCGTTTAGATTTTATAAATTTCCATTTTAGTCACTAAATCAAGTTTATGAATATTCAGATTCGGTCTTTTAATTTTATTTTATTTATATTTTAGTCACTGCACTATACTTATAAATATTTAGGGTAAATATCTTATTTAGTCCCTTTAGTTTTAATAATTATTATTTTAATCCTGAATATTTTATTATGGTTAAATTATACTATTATAAACTATATTATATAATATTTCGAGTTATTTCTATATTAATTTTAATATTTTACAATTTAATCCTTAAAAGCATGTTTCTATTTATTTTAATTTGGCATCTATATTTTATTTTATTTTATTTAGTTATTTATGCATATACTTTAGGGTAAAATATGACTAAAATATGATTTAATGATTTTTATATTAAAATTTAATCTTTTCGAAGATGGTGATGATTGACAGACAGGTAATAATTATAGTGACCTAGTTGTAGCATGATTTTGTTAATGTGTTGCTTTCGTTAGTTGTTGCCTCTCATTGGCAGATTCATCACGTTGACTTTAATAACGTGATAAGAAGTCTATGCTTTTGGGATACTTTCAAGCACTTGGACTTGAAAACTCTATGCTCTTATGCAGGAGTGGATGATAAGAAGGGCATGGGAGCCTTGGTGTCACGAATATAATGTGTCACTTCGATCATTACCCCGTGCTACATCTGAAAGAAGTCTTTCTTAAATAAGGGCAAAATTAGTCAACTTTATCCTTAATTATTTGTGTCTAGATTGACTCGGTCATAAAATCATGTAATACTTGATAAAAAAACGTTCTCTCGATAATTTAATCATTCCCCTAATGATCTGTCCAACGTAAATTGTTAATACATAAGCCACAATGTGATCTCAAAAACGACTTTTGAATGGTAGATCTTCCAAGTCTAATGAAAGTTAGAATCTAACCCCACTTCCTAACCAAGAGAACAATACGGGGCTCACACGTACCAAATTGTCCCAAGATATTACTCTAAGACATTGTATCATTCACGTTGTTGTTTACACCATGATAGCTCCACTTGCTATCTCAAAGTGATGGGATGGTAAAAATCTAATACAGAGTCACTCCTCGTAAAAAAAAAACTCAACTAGATACGACACTAATATATATGATGGAATGTCCTTAATAAAGACACTTTCCAGATAGGCCGGGATGGTAAAAATCTAATACAGAGTCACTCCTCGTAATAAAAAAACTCAACTAGATACGACACTAATATATACGATGGAATGTCCTTAATAAAGACACTTTCCGGATAGGCCCTCCATGACTCTTCTGTAAGCATCTATTTATCTCGTATCACCTAGTTGTGTTATCATCCCACTCGATCGTCATTGCATAATGCTTCCAAGACTTGATAGACCATCAGGGAACACATCCCATGGATTACAATCATATTTACTTGGCTCAACGTTGTCAGGACAATATTACGGTTTATTACAAGTCCGGACAACTTGGCACCCTCAGTTGTCAGAAATTTGTATTATATCTTTGAAATAACTTTGAAAATAACCACTAATAGAATTTGGGCAGTTAAGAATTGTAACAGTACCGTGTGTGGGATTTTGATCTGAAATGAGAGTTCTCCAAAAGACGTCTAAAATTCATGTAATGGGTCTACCACCAAAAATGTAAAACAATACTAAATTCTTATCTCACGACAACACCAAATCGATAAATTTGACACCCGAAGTACATATTCTAAGTAACCAAACACAATGCAATACAGGCGTTAAGCCCTACACATATACCTTAAAGGAAACATGCCCCTCTGAAGATCGAAATCACTTGAATTCGATTTAAAAATACGAACACACCGATGGATATTAAGTTACAAGTAACCATTGCATTTCCTGAAGACAATGAAATTCAAAATTTGCATTAGAACTCAGTTGCCATTGATCCTCTCCACAGCAGTTATAAGGCCCTGTGTACCGAGCTTCCCATCACCATTAGCCACCATTGAGGAAAACAACTGTTTACACAAAGCAGCCCCGGGCAAAACCACCACTCGCGCATCCTCGTCTTCCTTCACAACATCCACCCCCAACCCCAAATCCTTCACCATGTACTCCACGAACCCACCCGGCTTGAAATCCCTGTCAATCATTCTCCCCCCATACAGCTCCATCGCCATTGACCCAGCTGCTCCTCCCCTAATCGCCCCCATAAACTTCCTCAAGTCCAGCCCTGCTTTCTCGGCAAAAACCAACCCTTCACTTAACCCCAATAGATTCCCCCCCACCATTATCTGGTTCCCAATCTTACAATTCTGCCCACACCCTGCTTCCCCCATGTAAGTCACCCTCCCCATCAAATCAAACAAGGGTTTTAGCCACTCCACCACGGGCCTTTCTCCTCCGGCGAAAATAGCCAGTTTTCCTTCTCTAGCTCCAATATCACCACCGGAGACCGGAGCGTCGATCGACCAACAACCCTTTTCGCGAGCAGAAGTGTAGATCTCGCGCGCCATAGATGGGCTGCTGCTGGTGTGATCTACGATGGCGGCGCCCGGGTTTAAGGTTGAGAGGATGCCGTTGGTTTCCAGGACGACTTGTTTGACGTCTAGGGGGTTGCCCACCATGGTGAAAACTACGTCGGATTGACGGGCGAGTTGTTCTGGGGAGCCGGCGAGATGGGCTCCTTGGGATGTGAGAGACGAGGCCTTTGATGGGGTGCGAGCGTAGACGGTGAGGGAATAGCCGGCTGAGAGGAGGTGAGAAGCCATAGCCGCACCCATTACGCCTATCCCGATCCACCCTATGCGGGTTTGGGTCGGTGAGATGGGTTTTGGGTAGGGAGTTTCCATGGAGATCCGGCGGATATCGAGCACCTAAACAAACTGCGGTGTATATTTTGGCTTTCTAAAGCTTCTACTGTATCACAAATAGCCTAATACTGGCTCGCACGTGTTAATTTGTATATGAGCTTAAGGATGCGTTTGGTTCGAATGTAAGATTACAAGTAGAAATGTAAGATTATTAGAGAATACGATTACTGAGAATGTTGTATTTTGTGTTTGGTTAGCTTAGCAGAAATGTAAGATTACCGTGTTTGGTTAAAGGAATAAAAGATTATTAGAATGTATATTTAATCAAATTGTCCTTATTATATATTTGTTTTTTTAACAAGTTGGAAAATATTTATATATTTTCTTTAAAAAATTTAAATTCATAAAATTTATATAATTTTTTTACAAAATTGAAAATATAAAAATGTTTAATGAAATGGTAAAATTTTATTTTAACCCCCAAACTTCATATAAAATTTTAATTATATAATTTTTTATAAATCTAAAATAGTTTAATTATAAATTTGTAATTTAACCTTCGTATAATTTTTCTTATTCAATGACAGAAGAAATATATTTTTGAAAGAAAAAAAAATTAAGGACATTTTAGTCCAAAACGTCGATAATCCAACAATACTTAAGAAAAGGGAGGTAATGACATTCTCGGTAATATACCCCAAAAAATTCACTATTGGTAATCTTACATTACCGGGAATGAGATTCTCGGGCTAACCAAACGGGGGAATGTGGATTTCATTCTCATGGGAATCACACATTCCCCATCCAAACACCCCCTAAGTTCCTTGACAAGATAGATTCGTCAGTTTAAGTAATTTATTCGTTTTTATTTGAACGAAGAGTTACAACAATATAGTTGTATGAATCAATGTTACAACAATAGAGTTGTAAGGGTGCGTTTGGTTCACGGAATGTAAAATTAATGAATGAAATAAGATTACCGGAATGTAACATTACCTAACACATTACTGAGAATGTTGCATTGTTGTGTTTGGTTCGTTTAGCAGAAATATAATATTACAGTATTTGGTTAAATGAATGAAAGATTATTAGAATGTATATTTTACCAAATTATACTTATTATATATTTGTTTTTTAACAAGTTGAATTCTATTATAATTTTACTATAATTATTTTATATATTTTCTTTAAAAAATTTAAATTCATAAAATTTATATTATTTTTTTACAAAATTGAAAAGATAAATAAGTTTAATGAAAGGGTAAATTTTTATTTTAACCCCTAAACTTCATATAAAATTTTAATTATGGATTTTTTGTAAATCTAAAATAGTTTAAGGATAAATTTTCAATTTAACCATCATAGAATTTTTATTCAACGACAGAAGAATGATATTTTTGAAAAAAAAATTAAGGGGATTTTAGTCCAAAACGTCGGGAATGTAACGATACCTAAGGGAAGGGGGAATCACATTCCCAATAATAAGCCCCTAAAATACCACTGTTGGGAATAACTTATTACCAGGGGTTAAGAATCTTTGCAATCCAAACGGGGGAATCACATTCATTCCTCCAAGTAATCCAAAATAACCTGAACCAAACGCCCCCTAAGTATTGAATCAATATAACTCTTTGGGAATTGTCAACACACCTTTTCGTCCGGGTACAACACTCCCAACAACCCTGATTTAGTGGGATTCGGAAAACAAACATAACGTTAGAGTTTTACTAGGATTCAAACTCCTAAAAATATGATAGAGTTTTACTATGATTCAAACTCCTAAAAATAGGATAGAGTTTTACTAAGATTCAAACTCCTAAAAATATAATCCATAAGCATTATAAATAGTCATTGTAACTCACTACTGTGACAGACAATTTATAGACGAAATACGAACAGAAAATTTGAAACAATAAAAGCATTTTTTTTGCAAAGTTTCGAAGGCAACAAAGATAAAAAGCCTTACCTTTTTCGGTTGTTATGCTTGCATGTGCCATTTGTTTATTGCTTTCGATTTGTAAAATCACAAAAACTTAAAAGGCCGATGATCGGAGGGGTTTTTTTTGAAATTAACTTTTTAGATCCACGGAACCCCGAAGCTATTTTGTGATCGTTCGGACATTTAGAAAGAGGAGATGAAGAACTTTAAAATATTCAAATTTTTTTATATTTTTTCTTACTATTATTATTATATATACTTCATTATCATTATTATATTTTATATATTTTGTTTTGTTTTGTTTTATCTTTTTTTAATTTATTATTATTTTTTAAAATATTTTATTTATATGTATATTCATTATATATTTTTTATCTTATTTTATTTAATTTTCCTACCATTATTTTTTGTTTCTCTCTATTGTTTATCTATACGTATTATTATTATTATATATATATACATTTTTTCATTTATTTTTTATTTGTTGCAAATATTATATTTATTATTACATATATACATATATTTTATTTATTATTCTTATACCCTTCTATTTTTATTTTCTTTTATTACTACTTTTATTATTATTATTATTATTATTATTCTATTTTATTTATTTATATTTACCTTTTTTTCCTCTATTTCATTTTTATGTTTATTCCTTATCTTTATTTTTTTTATCTTCTTTACATTTGTTTTATTTATTTTTATTTTCTTGTTATTTTTTTATTTACTAGTTTATTATGTATATATTAGTTTTCTTATCGTATTCATTTTTATGTTCACTCTTTTTTTTATTCCTTTATTTTGGTCGTTTTTTTATTTTCTTTATTCTATTTATTTTAATTTTTTATCTAATACGTTTCTTGACTCTCTTAAGGGTATACCTTTAAAACTATATAAGGTAAGTAATTGGGATCGTATTTTTCCTTTTAATTTTAAATTACAATTTTCTTAATTTAAGGCAACTGAAAATTGCGTAGTACCGAAAGGGCAGTTTAAGGGTGCTAACCCTTCCTTGATTGTAACCGACTCCCGAATCCGACACATCTTTGGAAAGACGCAAATCAGGTAAGAAATGGGATATTCGATCAACCCATTTGTTTTAAAATAAATGATCGGTGGCGACTCTGCTGGAGACAGGTAAGTGAGTCAGGCCGAAATTAATTTTTGTTGTCTTTTTATGCGAAAATGGTAAATTTAAATTTAAATTTATTTATTCGATTCCAATTATTTATTTTTAATTATTTTTCAAATAAATAGTTGTACTAACGTTTTTTCAATGATTTCAGATTTTTAAAATTTTCATCTCTAGCTCTATACCCGAGCTTCGAACCCTTTTAAGTGGGGGTGAAAGCAACGCCTTCGTGTGAATTTATTCACCGTATGGGCCTAGCAAGTAACCTTCGGGATTTATATACCTTATAACTTCGTGTGAATTTATTATCCGTATGGGTATAAGGGAATGTTTCCTCCCGAGTTTAACTTAGTCCACACAAGCTTATAATGGGCTTAGGACTAAGGGTCTGGCAAGCCCAATGGGGCACCAGCAAGAAGAACTCGGGTACCCTTTTAGAACCTAAACCAGGAGAGTATAGAGAATTAGAACCCACCCCAAAATCTCATTGCAAACCCTAGGCTGCTTTGTTTCTTGCTTTATTTTCTGTTCAAAGCATGCGAACTAGACAAATACGCGGTTAGGATTTGTTTGAAATTAGCATGCGGGATAGAGATCATATCCGGGTAGGAATTAAAGCATATGGGGTAGATATCATATGGGGTAGGATTTTTCATTTTTTTATTGTTTTGATATACCTCACTAGCACTTTTTATTTTTTGTTTTCTTTCATTTTGTTCTCATCATTCGCATCATTTAAAAGATGTGTTGATCCACCAAAAACATGTTTGTTAAACATGAATAATCTGCATTAATGGACAAAGGGGTTGTAATACAAAAGATGAAAATGCAGAGGTTGTAAAGGACTCAGAATGAACCGGGTCTACATCAAGCACAATGAAAGTTTATCTTTGAAGAACTGACTGGCAGAGGTTGTAGGGGCAAGATGAAGGTTACTGATATTATGAGTCCCTTCAAAGATAACAATGGAAAAACGATAGCTGAAATTGGAGACCATTGCTAACGAATTCAAGAAACAGAAAAATGAACTTCATATAGTTCCTATCAATTGAGGGCTCCAATGATGTATTCGTTGGGAACATGTTCAACAAAAGATAAATGCCAGAGATGTAGTCATTCGAGACTTCTTGGGAAAGTACAAAAAGCAACTCAACATTTGTACTGTTCATCCAGAGAAGCCAGATCAGTTCAACATGTTATTCAACTGGTGACAGACGAAGACAGAAGACTAGTTAACATGTCAGAAGCTGTCAGGATATTTTTTCTCTTAAAAGATAAACACTTTTGTCCTCAATAAGGATTATTTATAATAACAGGCACATTTTTTTGATCAATGCCTCAAACATTTCATGTATCATGCATTCTTGCATATTTCACATTTTTTTTATTTTCATTCACATTAACTAACAAGAGTTGGACACACCCCATCCGCATAACACCCACCTGAAAAAGAAGAAAATGGAAACAAGATTTCAAAGAACCAAGGAGGGAAAGAGAACATTTCGACCCTATTCTCATTACCTACAAAGAACTTTACCAGTAACTTCTTGATAACCATATAGTGCCACCATACCCGATGGAACCCATGAAGCCCCCATACCCCAAGTGGTATGATGAGAATCCTCATTATGAATATTACGGCGATGTCCCAGGGCACACTATTGAGAACTGCTATGCATTCAAGAGAGTCGTGCAGAAGATGCGTAACCAGAACTGGATCGACTTCAACAACTTGGGGGCATCCAAGTGAGGAAGATCATTTTATCATTTGAGATATTCTGTTTGAGTTTGTTTTTTCCATTTTTTCTCAAGTTTTTGCAAGAACATTTGAATAAATTTATGTTACTTTAATGATGACGAGCAATAAATCACATTTGTAAACTTGCAATTATTTGAATATCAATTGAATTAAGAAACTCTGTAAATGGTTCAAAATTATAGATTGACAAAGTAACATGATTTAAAACAAGGACTTTGACCTTACCCATAATATACACTCAAACACCGTACCATGCTCTCGCAATTAACCAATACAATATTTTCTTTTCATAAGGTGCGGACAACATGGGGCATCCTTTT